GAGGAGGGACAGAGTGGGGACAGGGAGGAGGGGACAAAGCCGGGACAGAGAGGAGGGACAGAGCGGGGACAGCCAGAAGGGACAGAGTGGGGACAGCGAGGAGGGGACAAAGTGGGGACAGAGGGGAGGGACAGAGCGGGGACAGGGGACAGAGAGATGGGGACAGAATGGTGACAGCCAGAAGGGACAGAGCGGAGCCAGCACGACAGGGAGGAGGGGACAGAGCGGGGACAGCGCGACAGCGAGGAGGGGACAGAGCCGGGACAGGGAGGAGGGGACAGAGAGGGGACAGGGAGGAGTGATAGAGAGGGGACAGACAGGAGGGGACAGAGAGGAGGGACAGAGCGGGGACAACGCGCTCGGCAGGAGGGGCCACCTGGGGACACCTCGAGCTGGGTCAGGTTTGCAGGGAGCGGATTTGGAATTCTGCTCCCTACAAACATTTTCCTCTCTTAATTCAGCCCCGGGAATCCACTCCCAGGTCCAAAATCTCCTTCTGGCCTGGATAATCCCGGCTGAGCTCCTTTTCCAGCTGAGACATCGGCCTTTGGGAATTCCGGGAGGGAATCCCGGGTATCTTCCCTGATATCCACCGTGAGCCTCCCCACAAACACAGGGAGAGGTTCAGGTGGACACCGCGGGAAATTTCACGGCTGGAAAAGGGGATTGGCATTGGAACAGGGTGGCCAGGGAGTGGTGGAGTCACCAACCCTGGGAAGCTTCAAAAAGTGACTGAAGGGTTTGAAAAGTGACTCAAAGGTTTTAAAAGCGACTGAAGGCGTCACCTCGATTTGGTTTAACATGCACAGAGGGATTTGGTCAACGACTGGGCGGGAGGATTTTGGTTTTTTTTTTCCAACCATGGCACACCCGGTCCCAGGAAATGCTCCTGGGAACAGGGACAAAGTCCCGTCTCTGCAGGGACACGGAGGGGCAGTCCTGGTGTTCATTAACAGCTCGTGTTCATTAGCAGCCCGTGTTCATTAACAGCCCTTGACCTTTCCAGCCCCCGCGGGGATTAGTGACCCTCCCCCAGGCACCTGCAGCGACACAAATCCCCCACAACTCCAATCCATCAACGCAGCCACTTCAAATCTCTGCAATTCACCGTCCTCAGTTCCTGATCTGCCTCTGAATCCCTCCCCCAGCCCGTCCTGCTGCCCCCAGGGATTTCAAATCTGTGCAATTCACCACCCTCAGTTCCTGATCTGAATCCCTTCCCAGCTCATCCTGCTGCCCCCAGGGGTTTTAATCGAAATTATTTCAAATCTGTTCAATTTACCATCCTTAATTCCCCATCTGGCTCTGAATCCTTCCCCCCCAGCCCGTGCTGCTGCCCTCAGGGGTTTTAATCAAAACGATTTCAAATGCGTGGAATTCCTGGATCCCAAAATCCTGAACTGGTTTTGAATCCCCCCCTGCCCATCCTGCCTCCCCCAGGGGTTTTAAACACAGAGATTTCAAATCTGTGCAATTCACCACCCTCAGTTCCTGATCTGAATCCCTTCCCAGCTCATCCTGCTGCCCCCAGGGGTTTTAATCAAAACTATTTCAAATCTGTGCAATTCACCATCCCCAATTCCCAAACTGGCTCTGAATCCCCCCCAGCCCGTGCTGCTGCCCCAGGGATGCAGGAATTTCAAATCTGTGCAATTCACCATCCTGAATTCCTGGATCTGGCTCAGAATCTCCCCCCAGCCCATCCTGCTGTCCCCAGGGGTTTTAATCAAAACTATTTCAAATCTGTGCAATTCACCATCCCCAATTCCCGATTTTGCTCGGAATCCCTCCCCCAGCCTGTGCTGCTGCCCCCAGGGGTTTTAATCAAAATTATTTCAAATCTGTGCAATTCACCATCCCGAATTCCTGAGTTGGCTCGGAATCCCCCCCAGCCCACCTTGCTGGCCCAGGGTGGTTCAGGTGTGCTGACCCGGGGGGAGCAGGCTCAGGGCTCACCTGCATCCCGAGGGACAATCTGAAATCCGGGAAAACCACCCAGAAATCTGGGAAAAGTGCAGGAATCACTATGGCAACCATGGACTCATGCAGCCAGAGCTGCCAGGGTCCTGTCCCCGCAGGGAGGTGACACCATGGGGACAGCAGCTGCCCTGGGTGGGTGGCACAGGGATAGCAGCTGCCCTGGGAAATTCGCTTTTCTCAGGGTATAAAAATAGCCTGACCCAGAAATGCATCCAGAGCAGTGGGCTGGGCTCCTGGTGGCTGGAATGGGCATGGCCTGGATGGGCCTGGCCTAAATGGGCATGGCCTGGATGGGCATGGCCTGGATGGGCTTGGCCTAAATGGGCACGGCCTGGATGGGCATGGCCTGGATGGGCATGGCCTAAATGGGCTTGGCCTGGATGGGCCTGGCCTAAATGGGCACAGCCCGAATGGGCATGGCCTGGATGGGCATGGCCTAAATGGGCTTGGCCTGGATGGGCACGGCATAAATGAGCATGGCTTGGATGGGCCTGGCTTGGATGAGCATGGCTTGGATGGGCTTGGCCTAAATGGGCACGGCCTGGATGGGCATGGCCTGGATGGGCATGGTCTGGATGGGCCTGACTTGGATGGGCACGGCCTGAGTGGGCATGGCCTAAATGGGCACGGCCTGAACAGACATGGCCTGGATGGGCATGGCCTGGATGGCCTTGGCCTGGATGGCCTTGGCCGAAATGGGTATGGTCTGGATGGGCACGGCCCAAATGGGCATGACTTGGATGGGCCTGGCCTGGATGGGCCTGGCTTGGATGGGCATGGCCTGGATGGGCACAGCCCAGATGAGCATGGCCTAAATGGGCACGGCCTGAACAGACATGGCCTGGATGGGCATGGCCTGGATGGGCATGGCCTGAGTGGGCACGGCCTGGATAGACATGGCCTGAACTGGCATAGCCCAAACTGACATGGCCTGAACGAGCACAGCCTGAACGGGCATGGCCTAAAAGGGCACAGTCTGGACTGGCATGGCCTGGACAGGCAGGGCCTGAATGAGCACGGCCTAAACAGGCACAGCCTGAACCGGCATGGCCTGAACAGGCACGGCCTGAAAGGGCACGGCCTGGACAGGCAGGGCCTAAATGGGCACGGCCTAAAAGGGCACGGCCTAAATGGGCACGGCCTGGACTGACCCGGCCTGAAAGGGCACAGCCCAGCCCTGGTGACAACGCTGTGTCACCCCCGGCTGGGTGGGGACAGCACTGAGGTCCCTGCAGGGCTAAGGGCCTTGCTTTGCCACCTCCGGGATTTGTTTGCCCCCTCATTGATTTGTTTGTCACCTCATGGATTTGTTTGCCACCTCAGGGATTTGTTTGCCCCCTCAGGGATTTGTTTGCCACCTCTCCACCTCCATTTCTGGGACAGGAGGTGCAGGCAGGGAGCCAAGAGCCCCGGAGCAGCCGCCTGGGCCCATCCATGACCCCAAAATCCTCATCATCCTCAGCCCCCTGCAGAGCCCCCGGCACCTCCAGCTCTCCCTGTGGATGTGCCCAGACACGGCTCGGCCGCCCCAGGAATGAAACAATTCGGGTTTTATCTGTTTTGTCTCTTCCTAACTCCCAGCAGGGGCTCTGGAACCTTCTGCCTCTCCTGGGGAACTTGGCACACCCGGGAGCCCAGGGCCAGCCTGGGATCCAGCAGGATTCACATCCTGGGATCCAGCAGGATTCACATTCTGGGATCCAGCAGGATTCACATCCTGGCATCCAGCAGGATTTACATCCTGGGATCCAGCAGGATTTACATCCCGGGATCCAGCAGGATTCACATCCTGGCATCCAGCAGGATTCACATCCTGGCATCCAGCAGGATTCACATCCTGGGATCCAGCAGGATTTACATCCCGGGATCCAGCAGGATTTACATCCTGGCATCCAGCAGGATTCACATCCTGGCATCCAGCAGGACTTATATCCTGGGATTTGCCAGGATTCATACCCCAGGATCCAGCAGGATTCACATCCCGGGATCCAGCAGGATTCACATCCTGGGATCAGGCAGGATTTGCATCCCAGGATGCCTGGCAGTGAGATCCAGCAGGATTTGCATCCCGGGATGACTCCAGGAGGGAACAGCTCTCCCAGTTTCGCCCTCTCGATTTCACCTCCTCACCCCCTCAGGATGCTGCAAATTCAGATTAAACTTTTGTCGTTTGGAACAACAAAAACTCAAATCCCAGCTCCCCTCCCTGGGAGGTGCCACACCCCCTGCCTGGACCTTTGCTCCTCGTGCCACTCCCCATCCCAAATTCCCAAACCAGCTCCGAATTTCCTCACCCAACCCAGGCTGCGTCCAGCCAGGACAGGCTCAGATGATTCGGGGCAGGAGAGAAACTTCAATTTCACATTTCGATTTTCCTTTTCGATTTTCCTCTCCGCCCGAGGTTTCTCCCCCCCCATCCAAGCGTGCCCTCCCTTACCGGGTTAAGGGGCTGTGAAGTCAGGAGCTGCTGGAGCTGCTGCAGCTGCTGCTCGTGCTGCTGCAGGACGTGCCGCTGCTGCTCCGTCAGGGGACTCAGGCTGGCCACGCTGCGGGGAGGGAGCGCCGGTCAGCGCGGCCAGAACCGCTCCCGCACGCTCGGGGCCGCTCCCTCCATCCCTTCCCGGAGCTAAACTGCGGCTGGAGAGGGCCGGGGCGGCCCATCCTCACCTGCTCAGGCTGGTGGAGAGCTGCAGGGCTGGGGGACCGCTGGCCTGCGGTGGAGGCTGGGCGGGCTGCGCTCCGTTCAGGCTCCCCAGGATCCCGTTGAGGGGCATCTGCTGGGCTCCGGCCAGGCTGCCCAGCAGGCTGTCCACCATGGGCACCGCGGAGAGGCTGTGGCCGGCCCCGGAGCCTCCTGCTAGCCCCCCGCCTGCCACCCTGGCCAGGCCGTTCACCTGCTGCGCCCCGGGCAGGGGCAGCGAGGCGGGACTGGGCTGCAGCATGGGCAGGGGCGGGGGCGTGCTGTGGAAGGACAGGGAGGAGCTGCTCCTGCTGGGACAGCCCGAGTGAGGGTCCTGGGGGAGAAACGGACACAGAGCATCGGGCTGGGGGGGCTGCCCCAGGGCAGCTCGGCTCCGGCAGCTGGGGGTGGGAACTGGGGGGCTCTGCATGGCTCCAGTGGCTCAAGTGGCCCAGAACTCCAGCGGGGGGGGGGGGGGTCCCAGAACTGCAAGGGGGTCCCAGAACTCCGAGGAGGTCCCAGAACTCAGGTCCAGTCCTGCTGGATCTCCAGGATCACCTGGAAGCGCTCTCACCTCACACTCCCGCTCTCAGCTACTCTACCCAGCCCTCGGGCGCCGCAGGGAGAATGTGATCTCTGAGCCTGGGCTAGCAGGCTTCAGGAGCTGGCTACTGAGCCCTGGGGCTGCTGTGCTGCCCCTGCCTGGCCGCTGGTGGCCACAGAGGCCTCAGTACCTCGGAGGACGTGGAGAGCGAGTTCTCGATGCCGAAGCTGTTCTTGCACGGGGGGCTCTTGCTGATGCTCAGGGAGTCGCCGGTGCAGGCTGGGAGGGGAGAAGGGCGAGGGCAGAGAGTCAGGACTGGACCCTGAGGTGGCCATGGGAGAGATCCCTCCCACTGTGACCCCTCGGCCATCAATGGGGCACAGGGACACGTCTCTGGGTGCCCTGAGCCCCCTGGTGCCCTGAGCCTCCCTGTTCCCTCAGCCCCGGTGCGCTCAGTCCTGGTGCTTTCACCCCCGGTTCTCTCATCCCCGGTTCTCCCAGCCCGGTTCCCCCAGCCCGGTTCTCTCACCCCGGTTCTTTCATCCCCGGTTCCCCCAGCTCGGTTCTCTCACCTCCGGTTCCCTCAGCCCGGTTCTCTCACCCCCGGTTCTCTCATCCCCGGTTCCCCCAGCCCGGTTCCCTCACCCCGGTTCTCTCATCCCCGGTTCCCCCAGCCCGGTTCTCTCACCCCCGGCGGGCAGGATGTACTGGGCCTGGCTGCCGGGCCCGTTGCTGCTGGTGACCACGGGGAAGGGCACGGACAGCTGGACATTGAGCAGCTGCAGCCGCTCCTTCTTGGCCGTCAGCGTCATGATCTGCTCCTGCAGCCGCTGGTTCTCCTTCTGCAGCGAGTGCAGCGCCTTCAGCATCTCCACGACTGCGGGGGGAACGAGGGGGGACAGGAAAAAAAATGGGGGAATGAAAGGGAGGAAAGAGGAGACGGGATCACAGGATCCACTGTCAGAACGCAGTGCGGGAGGGACCGGCCCCGCAGTGCAGCTCCTGGCACAAACCGGGGCTCTGCTGCCCGCGGGCACAATCCCAAAATCCCGGCTGGCTCCTACCCCGGGAGCTGCCCCATGGCTCCTGAGAGCCCCGGGAGCTGCCCCAATGGCCCCCGGGAGCTGCCCCACCACCCCCAGGAGCTGCCCCAATGGCCCCGGGGAGCTGCCCGGTCACCCCTGAGAGCCCCCGGAGCTGCTCCCCGAGCCCCGGGAGCTCCCTCGCTGGCCCCATCGTCCCCCGAGAGCCCCGGGGAGCTGCCCCATCGTCCCCCGCCGCCCCCTGGGACCTGCCCCGCCGCTCCCGAGAGCCCCGGGCCCCGCTCCACCACCCCCGGGACCCGCTCCACCACCCCCGGGACCTGCCCCGGGAGCTGTCCTGCCGCCCCCCGGTCGCTGCCCGGTCGCCCCCCGGGCCCGCACTCACTGTTGACGCCGGCCTCGCCGTTGCCCTGCTTCTCCAGGAGCTGCTCGATGTTGGGGGTGGCCTGCGGGACATTGTCCAGCTGCCCGCTGCTGCTGCACGACACGGTCTGGTCGAAGAGCGTCGGCAGGCTGCTGATGGGGGACCTGGGGGGGCCGGGGGGTCAGGGGGACCCTGCTCTGCTCGCTGCCCTATTCCAGCTCCATTCCTGTTTCCTTCCCTGCCTCATTCCCGCTCCATTCCCTGCTCCATTCTTGTTCCATTTCTGTTCCATTCCAGCTCCATTCCTGCTCTGCTCCCTGCTCCATTCCTGTTTCATTCCCTGCCTCATTCCCGCTCCATTCCCTGCTCCATTCTTGTTCTATTCCTGTTCCATTCCAGCTACATTCCCCGTTCCATTCCCTACTCTGCTCCGTCTTTCACTCCCTGCTCCATTCACTGTTCCATTCCTGCTCTATTCATTGTTCCATTCCTGCTCTGCTCCCTGTTCCATTCCCTGCTCCATTCCCGTTTCATTCCCGTTCTATTCCCTGCTCCATTCCTGCTCCATTCCCTGCTCCTCTGCCTGGGCCGGAGCGCTCGCAGCCCCCCATGCTCAGCCTCCCGAGCCCGCGCTTGTGTTTAGTCCTGGCTCGGGCTGGGAAAGCAAACCTGACTTATCCCATCCCATCCCATCCCATCCCATCCCATCCCATCCCATCCCATCCCATCCCATCCCATCCCATCCCATCCCATCCCATCCCATCCCATCCCATCCCATCCCACACCCCAAGGAGCAGGGCAGGAGCTGTTTCCATCCCCCCAGGCGGTGTCCCTGTCCCCGCTGTCCCCGCTGTCCCCGCAGTCCCCGCTCCCGGACACTCACATGGAGGACAGGCTCTCCTGCGGGGACGTTCCCCGGCAGCCGAAGCCGCAATCCTCCAGATCCGGCTCTGCGTGGGGACAGGGACAGAGAGCCCGGGGTCAGCGGTGCCCGGCACGGCTGGAGCCCGGTGTGTGCCAGGTGTGCGTGTGATGTGTGCCAGGTGAGTGCCCGGTGTGTGCCAGGTGTGTGTGTGTGATCTGTGCCAGGTGAGCGCAAGGTGAGTGCCCGGTGCGTGCTCTGCGCGTGTACCCGGAGTGTATCCGGTGTGTGCCAGGTGAGTGCCAGGTGAGTGCCCGGTGTGTGCCAGGTGGGGATCACCGAGCAGTACCGGCACCGAGAGTCACCGGGCAGGCCCGAACGGCACCGGGCAGCACCGAGCAGCACCGGGCAGGCCCGAATGGGACCGGGCAGCACCGAGCAGCACCGGGCAGGCCCGAATGGGACCGGGCAGTACCGGGCAGCCCGCACCGAGCAGCACCGAGAGTCACCGGGCAGCCCCGAATGGGACCAAGCAGCACCGGGCACACACATCGATCAGCCCCAGCCCCGCACCGATCAATCCCGCACCGATCAGCCCCGCACCGATCAATCCGTACCGATCAGCCCCGCACCGATCAGCCCCGCACCGATCACCCCGTATCGATCAGCCCTGCACCGATCAGCCCCGCACCGATCAGCCCCGGCCCCGCAGTCGATTTCCCCCGGTCACCGCTGCCGGTCCCGCCCGGTCACCCCGGCAAGGTCACCCGGGGCCGGCGTGCAAAGCCTGGAGCTGCTGTTCCCGGAGCTCCGGGAGGGACAAATCCCGTGCCAGGCCCTGCCCGTGGCTCCGGGCGGATCCGGTAATCCTGGGTGGATCCGGTTATCCCGGGGGATCCGGTTATCCCGGGGGATCAGCTGCCGCTCTCCATGGAGTGACAGAATGGCTCAGGTGGGAAAAGACCTTCAAGGTCAGGTGGGATTGAGGATCCTTCCCCCAAAGCCGCCCGCGGTTCTCTGAGGTTTCCACGTGCTGAGCTCCTCCCTAAGGAGCTTAAAGGGAATCATGGAATGGTTGGGGTTGGAAAATCCCTCCAAGGTCAATCATTAACCCAGCCCGGCATTGTCACCGCCCAGCCGCGTCCCCAGGCGCCACATCCACGCCTTTCCAGCACTTCCAGGCACGGGGACTTGTTCCAGTGCCTGACCACCTTTTCCATGGAGAAATTTTCCCGAATATCCAATGGAAACCTCCCTTGGCACATCCTGGGCTGTTCCCTCTCCTCCTGTCCCTGTTCCCTGGGAGCAGAACCCAAACCCCCCCGGCTGTCCCCTCCTGTCAGGGAGCTGTGCAGAGCCACAAGGTCCCTCCTGATCCCTCTTTTTTTTCCAGGATAAACATTCCCAGCTCCCTCAGCCACCCCTGGCACTCCAAACCCTTCCCTGGACACGCTCCAGCCCCTCCATCCTTCTTGGAAAAATCCCAAAACTGTCCCCCAGGACCTGAGCTGTGCCCTCAGCAGTGCCCAGCTCAGCTCTGGCATCCAGAACCTTCCTCCAGAGCCATCCCCGTGCCCCAGGAAATCTGGGATGTGGCTGCTGCACACACGTGCAGGATGTCTCCCATTCCAAGGGTAATCCAGGATAAATCCCAGATTTATCTTCCCATCCCCGGAATGCTCACTCCCCTCACCCTGGGCCCTGCCAGATGTTGTGGCTCCAGCTCCAGCTGCCTCCCTGCCCCTCCTCTCTTTCCCCACACATTCCCACGTGCAGGAATCCCAGAGATCTCCCACAGGGAATGCTGTGATTCCCAGCAGGATGCCCGGAGAGGATTTCCTGCTGCTGGGAATGAGCAAATCCATCTCCTCCAGACAGCCCCGGGGTGGGGGATCCTATCCTGGCTCCCTCACCCCCTCTGGAATGTCCTGCTGGACCGGGATTGTCCTGGGACACTTCCAGGCAGGAATCATCCACCTCCCTGCACGTGGCCACAATGTCCCAGTACAAACCTTGGAGCAGCTTCCAGTGCTGGGATGGGCTCCAGGAGAGCTGGAGAGGGACAAGGGATGGAGGAATGGAAACGGGGAATGGGTTTGAGCTGGGAAAGGTGGGATTTTGGGAAGGAATTCCTCTCTGGGAGGGTGGGGAGGGGCTGGGAAGGAATTCCCAGAGAAGCTGTGGATCCCTGGGAGTGTCCCAGGCCAGGCTGGAGCCCCCTGGGATAACGGGGGGGGGTGTCCCTGCCATGGATCATCTTTGAGGTCCCTCCCAACCCAAACCACTCCATGATCCCACAGAAACCTCCCCAGCCCTCAAAACCATCCCAGCTTCCAACCAGATAAAAATCCCGGGATTTTTTTGGGCTCCCTGCTCATTCCCTGAGAGCCCCAGCCCCCACATTCCATCATCCAACACCTCCAGACTCTTCCCGAGGCTGGGAGAAAACTGGGAATGCTGAATCCACCTGTTCCATCATCATCATCATCATCAGGATCCCAGAAAAGCCGTGGGAGGAAGGACAAGGTGGGAGCTCAGAATAAAAATCGGAATTTTTTTGTGCTGCCAAAGGGATGAACCTGAAGGAATTCCCTGTTCCCCCAGCTGGAATCAGCTCATGTAGCACGGGAAAAATTGGGAAATTTGGGATATTGAGTTGGGTCCATGGGAGCTGCCTGCACTCCTGGGAAAGGGAATCGGGGTCAGAAATGAGGTGGGAATGTTTGGAGTTTCCCCAATCATCCTGTGAGGTTTGGGATTAAAATCTCCACGTTTTTCAGGGAAAACAGCCCCACATGGGAGGATAATGAATCCCACTGGAGAAAAATCCACTGGAATTTGGCTGTGCACCCTCTGAGCCACCAACTCCAGGGATGGACAAACCCCAAAATCCAGGAGCTGTCCCCAAATCTTCCCAGAAAAAAAAAAAAATCCTAAAACATCCTAAAGCTCCTAAAATCCCAGTCAAACAAAATTTTGGGAAAGGAAATTAAGGATGGGGGTGATTTTTTTGGAGCACTTTGGATGATTGGATCCACGCTTCATTCCTGACTAGATATTCCTGGATCCTGGGGTTATTCCAAAATAATGGCACAGGGAAGCAGAATTTTGGGGGAAAAAGTAATTCCAGGCAGGAATGTGCCCTTGGAACAGCAAATGAGGGAAGAGGGGCGTGGGATTATTAATTACACTAATTAGGGCAATGTTTCCAAGTCCTTGTCACTCAGCCTGACACCAGGCAGGGTTTGGTCTCCTGGGATTCTGCATCCCAAATTTCTGGGATAAGGGAGCGGGGTTGCACCAACAGCTGAAAAGCAGGAGGGTCAAAATTTAGGATCAAAAAATCATCCCCAGTTTGTTTGAGGGGGGAAAAAAAAAAAATAAATGGAAAAAATCTTGTGATGCTCCAAGTTTCCTGCTCGTTAACCAGGCAGTTTTCCAAGGAAAATGGAAATTAGGTTTGGTGGGAAAAAAGCGAGTGGTTGTAAGGAATGCAGGGCTGGGAGTGGAAACCTGGATTTTGGGGCATCCACAGGGGAGGAAAATTCACATCCTTAAAGGGGAAGAGCAGGAAGTGGGAGATGGAAATTGGGGAGTGAGGAGCCTCTGGCTGGAGAGAATCCCAAGAAACAAAAATTTCGGAGTTTTTTTTGAGGAGGCAAAGCTTTCACCGGGAGTGCCCGGCTTTGGGGTGGGAAAAAAAAAAACCCAAAAATTCCAAAGGGAAGGAGGATTTGACATTCCTGAATTTTGCCAGCACGTGTCCAGGGACACCCAATATCCAGGGACACCCAATTATCCAGGGACACCCAATATCCAGGGACACCCAATATCCAGGGACACCCAATATCCAGGGATATCCATGATCCAGGGATATTCATTATCCATGGACTTTCACTCTCCAGGGACACCCATCATTCTCCAGGGATATCCATGATCCAGGGACACCCAATAATCCAGGAATATCCATTCTCCAGAGCCACTCATAATCCACGGGCACCCATCATTCTCCAGGGATGCCCAAATCCAGGGATACTCATCCCCAGGGACACCCATCATCATCCAGGGACATTCATTATCCAGAAACACCCAATTATCCAGGGATATCCATGATCCAGGGACACCCATTATCCAGGGACACTTATTATCCATGGACACCCATTATCCATGGACATCCATTATCCATGGACACCCATTATCCAGGGATATCCATTATCCATGGACATCCATTATCCAGGGATATCCATGCTCCAGAGCCACCCATTCTCCAGGGACACCCAATAATCCAGGGACATCCATTATCCAGAAACACACAGTTATCCAGGGATATCCATGATCCAGGGATATCCATGATCCAGGGATATCCATCATTATCGAGGGATATTCATCATTCTCCAGGGATATCCATCATTATTCAGAGATATCCATGATCCAGGGATATCCATGATCCAGGGATATCCATGATCCAGGGATATCCATCATTATCCAGGGATATCGATTCTCCAGGGCCAGCCACAATTTAATGCAGGACCACTCAATTATCCAGGGCCACTCATCATCATCCAGGGACACTCATGATCCAGGGAAACCAAATAATTCAGGGATATCCATCCTCCAGGGTCACCCCATAATCCAGGGACACCCAGTTATCCAGGGATATCCATGATCCAGGGACACTCATTCTCTAGGAACACCCATCATTCCCCAGGAGCACCCAATCATCCAGGAATATTCATTTTTCATGGACACTCATTTTCCAGGGCCACTCATTATCCATGGACTTTCATTCTCCTGGGACACCCATCATTCTCCTGGGACATCCATTATCCAGGAATATCCATTCTCCAGGGATATCCATCATTTTCCAGGGATATCCATCATTCTCCAGGGATATCCATTCTCCAAGGCAGCAGAGACCTTGTGTC